GATAGATAGATAGATAGATAGATAGATAGATAGATAGATAGATAGATAGATAGATAGATAGATAGATAGATAGATAGATAGATAGATAGATAGATAGATAGATAGATAGATAGATAGATAAGCCACATTATCTCTTAGACAGACAGACAGACAGACAGACAGACAGACAGACAGACAGACAGACAGATAGATAATGTGTTAGGGGCTCAGAGGTGGGGGATCAAAATCTGCTGGTCTAGTGAAATAAGATCTCCGCCCCAAGACCACAATCCCAGAGCAGATTCCCAAAGAAAAGCTAAGGGCGTAATTTCGGCAAGGAAACAGCCAGCCAGAATGGAAGAGTCAACTTTTATTAGAATTATTATTACACCTCTGAATCCAGTTCTTGATACAAATGTACAGAATGGTTTCGGAACGCGCGCCCCCCCCCAAAAAAATCAGGTCTCTTCTTGACCCTTGCGGTAGTAACCTTTGCAAGCAACTGTGCTAAGAAAGTGGCACCATCGAGGGGGCAACGATTGCCTAAACCCAGGGACTTCTTCATGGGGTGCCCTTCCTCTCTGCCCTTCTTAACCCCCACCCCCATGACCACCACCATTAGAAACATACGTCCCGGGTCTCGAGTCGCTGCGAGGGTCGGTCCCAGAGCCCAGCAGAGGACTTACTGGCGGAAGGGCGGAGAGAAGAGGACGCGGTTCTGCAGAGACAAAACATCGGAGGAAAGGCTGGGTTACATGAAGCAGCTGATACCCTAATTAAATCACCCCTCTGTGATATGGATCAGAGCACGTAGCGTTGCTGTTTGAGACGACAGTTGAGGAATCCTCGGAATTGTAGTCCCCAAACGACATGAAGTTCCCAGATTCACGCTTCGCTGCACCAGAAGGAAACGTTTATGTGGCGGACCTAGAAAAAGGCTCGGCAGAGGACAATCCTTGAAATAATCAAGGAAAGAGAACAGCTCAGGATGTAGAGTCTTTACAACAAACAGTAGGGCCCCCTTATCCGTGGGATCATTATCCGCGGATTCAACTTATCCGTGCTCTGAAAAATGTTAGAAATATTGAAAGAAAAAAAAACCCAGAAATCGATTTCTAAAGACGAATTCACCAGAACTGGCCACTAGAGGAAGTCAGACACCATGCTATGTCTACCCTGTTTCCCCGAAAATAAGACCTAACCTGAAAATAAGCCCTAGTAGGATTTTTCAGGATGCTTGTCATAATATAAGCCCTCCGCCCAAAATAAGCCCAGTTAAGTGGAAGCCCGCCCTCCACCCTTGTGCAGCAACCAGAAGAAGATGACATGACTTTATTTGAATCAATGCAGATGGTTGCACATGGAAAAAATAAAAAAATAAAACATCCCCTGAAAATAAGCCCTAATGTGGTTTTTGGGGCAAAAAATAATATAAGACCCTGTCTTATTTTCGTGGAAACAGGGTAGCAATTAATATTAAAATAGTGTTTGCTATTATCTGCGCTTTTTAGCATCAGCAGGGGGGAAACAGCCTTGGATTCCCCATGGATAGAGGGGCCCTCTACCTTGCTATTATCTGCGCTGTTTAGCATCCGCAGGGGGAAAGAGCCTTGAAACGGATTCCCCATGGATAGAGGGGCCCTCTACTGTAAGGTTTTCTGCACTCTCTCAACTGCATCCCCTTTGATAATCTCCTTTAAAGTTCAGAGTAAAACCCAGAGGCTTCCACTGGTCCCACGAAATCAAGAGTCTCCAACTGAGTCCATGTCCAATAAGGAACAGTTATTTTCACCCTCACTTAATGCTGGATCTTGGGATTGTCTGCTGAAGCTGAGAAGCGGGTGATTCGAACGCCTGATGAGAGGATGTCCTCTTTCATGCAGCTCACAGTGAAACAGTGGAACTCACTGCCCCATGATAGCCACCAACTTGGAGGGCCTTAGAATGAAACTGCAGGACAAAGCCACCAGGAGATTTGCACAGAGACTAGCACAGATTACAGTGGTGCCTCCCATAACGAGCGAACCGTTTAACGACGAATCCGCATTGCAATCTATTTTTTTAGTTCGCTAATGCGATCGCATTGCGATGTTTTAATGGGCAAAACATCGCATTGTGATGATCCGTAAGCGTTTCGCTTCCCGATCTTCGCATTGCGATGTTTCCCCAACAGCTGATCGGTGGTTCCAAAATGGCCGCTGGGTGCCCAAAATGGCCACCGCAACCATTTTCGCGCGGTTTCCTCGCTTACCGAGGGCACGAAAATGGCGGTGCTATGGAGGATCTTCGCTGAACGGTGAGTTTGGGCCCCATAGGAGCGCATTAAACAAAGTTTAATGCGTTCCTATGGGTTTTCCCGTTCCGTTTAGCGATGTTTTCACATAGCGACAATTAATCCGGAATGGATTAACGTCGCTATGCGTGGCACCACTGTATTGGCATTACCTCTCGTACTGGAGACAAGTGATGGTTCAGGCTGCTTTATTTTTGATTCTCTAAAATATCCAAGCTACGTCCTTTAATTCTCAACAGCATAAAAAAAAGAAGAATCATCACCTGATGCCCGGCTCCTAGGCAGCCTCTCAGTACCGGCCTCATAGGTGGACATCAAAAACCCCGTCCTCCACAGCTTGTGTGCTTTCCTCCTGGATTTCTGCAGAGACCAGCAGAAGAATGGACTTTAGTGGAAAGTGGAATTTAGGCTGAAAAGCAATATATTTCTGTAATCTTTTGCGCCGGTCGTCACCCAGGAATCCGGGCCCCGCCGTGATAGAAACAAAAACCTCATCGGTCCTGAGGAACAAAAAAAGGCCACTGACACTGGTTTTTCCCCTCCTGGTGTGGCACTCAATTTTATCTCCAGTTTTTCTAATATGACAATGGCCATGTTTCGTGTGCTTCTGCTCTCAGCCAAAGCAGAAGCCCTGTGCAATGCAGGGCTCACAGAGAACGTGGCCTTTGCTTTGTCTAACTGTTCATCGTCTAAGGGGAAATCTGATACCAAACCATCAGAGACGTTTTTGGCTTCCATCGTGGCCTTTACGGACAACAGCTTCGAAATGTGATTTTGGACTACAATTCTCAGAATCCCCAGCCCCCAGAGACATAGGATTTTCCTGATAACACTGACAGAGGCCTCCATTATTATATTTGCCATTTCAGGCAGGGGAGGGCAAAAAGTGACAGTTTTCTCCAGCAACCATCCTGCATTCCCCAACCCCACCGAGCTTTTTCCTGCGACATGCAAACTTTAGGGAAACTTTTAAAGACAATAACAAACGGCCTGAGAGGAGCTGACCGTCCACCCAAGCCAAGAAAAATAAACATTCCACCAGTCGTTGAAAATCGTGACAATACTGGGGAGTATAAATTTTACGGCCATAGTAACAGTAAAGCACAAAGATAATAAAGAAGAAAAATCGCCACAACGTGATTGGGAATACATTTTGTGGCTTTGACTTCCAGAAGGACACGGGGATGGATGGAGACCAAGTTGTTAGCAAGGGATAGGAAACGCTTAGCATTCCCCCAGGGGTGCACAATACGGTGAGTTGAGGGACACTATCTCAAAGGACACACCAACAGGCTCCTCAATCCCATATACAGTGGTGCCTCGCTAGACAGTTACCCCGCATGGAAGTTTTTTCGCTAGACATTGACTTTTTGCGATCGCCATAGAGATCCGTTCCACTGAAATCGCTGTTTAGCGAAATCATCGTCTAGCGAAAAGCATTTCCCCACTGGAATGCATTGAAACCTATATCAGTAGACGTTGTAGACGTTGTCTAGGGGGGCGGGGTAAAAATTGAATAAATAAATAAAATAAAAATATTTAATGCATTCCAATGGGGAAGAATCATTGTTGTCTAGCGAAGATCAGCCATAAGAAAGCCGCATTGCGAACCGCCGATCAGCTGTTTAAATCGCTGTCTTGCGATGCTTAGGTCCCGAAAACACCCGTTTTGCGAGCAGGGAGGGAGCTGTCAAAATCGTCGTCTAGCAAAAATTGGTTTCCGAAGCAGGGATCAAACATTGTCCAGCGAAATCCCCCCAAAGGAATCACTGTTTTGTGAATCACTATAGCGATCGCAAAACGCCAATGTCTAGCGAAATAACTGTTATGCGGGGTAACTGTTTAGCGAGGCACCACTGTATGTCTGCCTGAATGACTCCCAGTATCCGATATGTTTTCTTCCTCACTATCCCTCCATCCGTCAGCAAGCAAAGACCTTCTTATTGGTTGTCATGTTTTTCTGCATCTTTTTTTTTTTTGAAAAAAAAATCAGACATTTGCTTCTTTACGCTGGAAGGTTTTTCCCCCTCCTCCTTTCGCCCATTTCTAAGCGGTAGCTTTCTTCTTTAAGCACAATAAAAAAGGAATTGGAAAATATCCAAGCAGGCCCTGGGCCAGTCAGCTGGAATGTAATGGGAATGGCTTTTAATGTGGTGTTCCTTCTTCTCTAGATCGGCCTTATTCTGTCCTTCTAACCCCTTTTGTGTTTCAAGTGTGTTGTTTAATGTTGTTTCATTTCAACTTTGTCAGCTGCTTAGATAGCCGCTTTTAGCATGAAAGCCACCCCCCCAAGGTCCCCGTAAGACCAATAGAAAATTATTGATTGATTGATTGATTAGATTCCTACCCTGCTTTTCTACCCACCAGCCCAAGTACAGAGCGCTCCCTCCTCCTCACTTTATCGTCACAATGACCTTGTAAGGTAGAACAGGCAGAGAAAGAGAGAGGGACTGGATCTGGTTCCCCATTGCTCCAAACACCACACATTCTTCTCCATCAGAAGCTGAGTGACAGCCAGCGCCCCCCCCTCCCTTAAGACCGACTCATGACCACAATGTTTTTCCAACCCAACAGGTTGAGAGGGGAGCCTTTAGGGCGACTTTCCCTTTCATGCTTAACAGGACCGGCTGCAAATTAAAAAAAGGCCAGCCAGTTTTTTTCACTTTCAAAACCATAAGTCACCTTTCAATCACATCCAGCTCTGGGAAAAAAAAAACAGAGGAAAGTTCTGAAGGGCGAAAGACGGTGTGGATGCAACTCAGATACGTGATTCCTTAGCTGCCCATCCGTCCTTCAAGACCACAGAATCATAAAATAAATGAAGTTGGAAGGGGCTTCTGAGCCCACAGTTAAAAAGCAGAAACAGCCCAGGATGCAATGGATGCAGTTAAGCAAGAGCTTATATTGCATTTAGCAAAAACGATTCAAGACCACAGAATCATAAAATAAATGAAGTTGGAAGGGGCTTCTGAGCCCACAGGTAAAAGGCAGAAACAGCCCAGGATGCACTTAAGGAAGAGCTTATATTGCATTTAGCAAAAACGAACAAACAAATATGCAAGCTATCCAGTCACACTGAGCTCTTCAGCGGACAGACCAGAGAGGATGCTGCTCCTTGGGCCCAGGAGTTAAAATGCAAAATGTTCTTATGTTGCTGGTACAGGAAGGGATGTGCAAAACTCTTTCCCATTCTGCAGGGTTGTGTGAAACTCAAGAGCTTTTTTTTACTGGGGCTTTTAATAAGCTTTTCCAGGAAAAAAATACTACCTTATCTGTTTTCCTATTTCTTTCACTCCCCCCCCCAACAGCTGCACCCTAATACTGCAATAACTCTTAGAGATGCAAAGCTGGCACCAAACACCAGGGGGCGATGCTGTACCACTGTTCAACCCCTGGATCATTTTTATGTCCAGACAAGTGGTGTCTTAGCAGATGTTTTCGGAGGAGAAACGGTAGTGCATGGTTAGGGTAAATGTCGAGATCAAAGCCACCCCACTATTTTGCCCCCCTAAGGCCGGACAAAAGGGCACCTCTCCCATTTCACATCCAGAGGCCAACCACAGTGGCTGCAGAACCAGGAGCCTCTTCCCTGAAACATCTGGACTGGGATGGATGCAGAAGAAGCACCTTGTGTGGTCAAGTTTTCGGTGGGCTGCAAAAGAAACCAAGGGCGTGGACCTCAAGCCAGCAGCCCGAGGAGCTGAAGCGAAAACACGAGAGGGGAGCGGCGCCCACAGGAAACAGCCGGCCCCCGTTGTCACCCGTCAGAAATGCACCGAGCAGGAAGCATAGCTCGGCTGAGCCGTTATCTTGGAGGAAAGCTGGTTTCCGGCGCAGGGCGAGGCTCAATGGGTGGGGGAACGGAGAGGAGGCAGGCCTCGGGTGTGGATGTGTGAAAAACAACTTGTGTTATCTGGAGGCGGAGAGAGAAGGGCGAGCCCGAAATAGCTGAAATAATGCACAATGGGCCAGGAGGAGCGGAACCCCCAAATGGCAGTCGCTGAAGGGTTGAGCTGGGAAACATTATTTCTTGGTCTATATAGACCAGTGGCCATGCTGGCTAGGGGATTCTGGGGATTACAGCCCCCCCCCAAACAAAACCCCAAAATATTTCCAGGTTGAGGAGGATGAAAACGGGAAAACAATGTGCTTCAAATGGCAGAGGCGATATTTCATGGAATTCGCCACAAAAGAGGACATGAAAAAGCTGCTCCATTGGTTCTCCTGTGCTCAGTGTCGGAACTGGGTTCCGATCCAGTCCACTACCGGTAGCGCCCATCCAGAGTCTCAGACTCCGCAGTGTTGAGGGGGGGATTCCACCTGAACATGGACAATCCCATAAGCCTCCAGGAGAGGGATCGGCCCCTATCCGAGTGATTCCACGCCATCACCACCACCTATATCGTATATCGTGTATATCGTATATACAATATAGTATATCGTATATCGTAATAGTTCAAGACCATAAATAACTTTCCAATGGGGAAAGTTCCAAGGCAGCCCAAGGGGTGGGGGTGAAAACAGGCCAGATCCAGACCCCGAGACTTTGGCTGGCTGCCTCCCCCTGGTATCCAGGACCCCCTGAAAGCCCTCCAGGTTTCGAAGCGGGATTGTTTCCAAGGTCTGCCGGCTGACGCCAGTCACTCAATATACAGGTCAAGTCCTGGGTGGCTGAGAGATGAGTCTCCTCTAAAAGAAACTAAGGTTCGAGTTCTCATGGTTCCCCATATGAGGCTGGTTTTAAATTGGAGTGTAAGACGCTCCCCGTAACTTCAGATCATCATCAGCCGTCTTCTGTTTACAGTGAGTGGTGAGGATGATTCTCCACTGTCTCAGTTCCACCTGGAGATCCCTGATGAAATGCCTGATCTTTTACATGCGTGTCAGCCCTTTCCTACGCCCGGTTTAACGATACTGCTGAAGTCTGGAACCAAAATCAATTCAATCTAAAAAAAAAATGATGATCTTTCAGATAAGTGTTTTTTTTTTCAAATGTCAACCCCTATAATGGAGGACTAGAGAGCCACCAACGTTAACATTTAAACTTTGTTTATTCATTCATTTGTTCGTTCGTGTATTTGTTTATTTAATAACAGGAACCAGAAAATGATGGAGACATAAGAGTCTTCCTGAGGAGAAAAAATAAGGGAAGGTTACCCACTCTATTAAAGAACATGCCTCACTCAGAAGAGCCTCACTCCAACGTACAGCCTCCAGTTGTGTTGGACGAGGACTTCCACAAACCTCTTAATGAGGGTGAAAGAGGGGAGCGCAAAAAATTGTCTGAAGCTAAACATTAAAAAAAACAAAGATCATGGCCACTGGTCCCATCATCTCCTGGCAAATAGAAGGGGATGATATGGAGGCGGTGACAGATTTGACTTTCTTGGGCTCCGTGATCACTGCAGATGGAGACAGCAGCCACGAAATTAAAAGACGCCTGCTTCTTGGGAGAAAAGTGATGACGAACCTAGACAGCATCTTAAAAAGCAGAGACATCACCTTGCCGACAAAAGTCCGCATTGTCAAAGCTATGGTTTTTCCAGTAGTGATGTATGGAAGTGAGAGCTGGACCTTAAAGAAGGCTGACCGCTGAAGAATTGATGCTTTTGAACTGTGGTGCTGGAGGAGGCTCTTGAGAGTCCCCTGGACTGCAAGGAGAATAAAGCCATCCCTTCTGAAGGTAATCAAGCCTGAGTGCTCCCTGGAAGGACAGATCCTGAAGCTGAGGCTCCAGTCCTTTGGCCATCTAATGAGAAGAGAAGACTCCCTGGAAAAGCCCCTGATGTTGGGAAAGTGTGAAGGCAAGAGGAGAAGGGGACGACCGAGGACGAGATGGATGGACAGGGTCATCGAAACGACCAACATGACTTTGACCCAACTCTGGGAGGCAGTGGAAGACAGGAGGGCCTGGCGTGCTCTGGTCCATGGGGTCACGAAGAGTCAGACATGACTGAACGACTAAACAACAAAAGGACTCTCATTATCCCCGACTAAAGAGGCTAGGAGATGCAATGCAATGCAAAGTATCTGGAGGATGCTGTGTCGCGGAAGGCTTGGACCAAGTTCCACATCCTAGATGTTTCTGAGGAGCCCACAAAACATGGATAAGGGCCTCTCCTATTTCTCTATCCCAGCTGACTGGCTCTGAAGTGGGGAGGTTACCCCCAGTGGATGAACAGACCTGCAGTTTTTGGAAAGGGGGAGCGTGCCTTTTAGAAGAGCATGATTCTATCTGAGCAAGGGAACTTAACATTTTCAAACACCTTTTCACAGATGCCCGAGACCTTCCTGGGGTTGGACTCAATAGCCTTACACGCCCCCTTCCGACTCCATCGATCCAGGATTCTTTGAAAACAAGGGCACCTCAAAGGGTCCCTTCCAACCGGCAGGGTGGGGAGAATCCACAAAAGTGTGCATAAACCCATCAGCATACATCTGGGCCAAAATAAAATAAAATAAAATAAGCCACTCTTAGCTCCACCACCTAGCGGCTTCTAGTTGTGCATTTCCAATCGCCTGCTTGGACCAAAAGCAAGCCTAGGGAGGGCTGAGATGACATTGAAATGCCAGGCCTCCCTCTTGGGAGGCTTTGAGGCGCAAGTCGCACTTGCCCGGGATCTGGAGGATCAGGGAGTGAAGGAGGTACCACCCGCCAGGGCCCAGAGCAGCGGAGACAACGGTGACCCCAAGGTTGTGCATACGCTCCGGATTTTAGCCAGAACATTTCAGGAACTGTATCCATGGTCCTGAACCCACAATAGGTTCAGAATTTTGTAAAGCTCAGACCGAACATTGGCACACGCTCACCGGCCCCACAGCATCAGAGTCATCAGCCTCCCCTGGTCTTGAGTAGGGTAAAAATGGGGCTCAGATCTAGGAAATACAACTCACTTGGCTTATACTCTTCAGAAGCTGAACTGGCTGGAACTCTTTAGGAACTGCTACAGAAGTAAGGTGAACGGCATCTTCCTGGGGACCAGTTAGTTCGTTCCTTCGTTCGTTCGTTCGTTCGTTCGTTCGTTCGTTCATTCATTCATTCATTCATTCATTCATTCATTCATTCATTCATTCATTCATTCATTCATTCCTTCCTTCCTATTTTTACCCCACCTTTCTCCTTAAAACAACTCAAAGCAGCTTACAACAATTAAAAGACAATATTTAAAAACTAAAAACAGCAAGTATGCAAATGTTAAAGCAGTTAAACAATTAGTATATTACAAATGGTCGATAAAATAAATATGGAAAAACACATTTAAAGTGTTAAAGGAGTTAAACGATTAGTATATTTAAAATAGTCAATAAAATAAATATGGAAAAACACATTTAAAAACAACGGAGCACAACAATCCATTAAAAAAAACCCTCTCAGGCAGCCAGTCCCTATGGAGAATCCTGCCTGAAGAGAAAGGTCTCTTGTCTGTTTGCAGAAGGACAGCTAAGGTGGGGCCAGCCTGACCTCCAGTGGGAGGGAGTTCCAAAGTCAATGAGCAGCCACAGAGAAGGCTCTCTCCTGTGTCCCCACCAGATGCACCTGTGAACGTGGTGGGACTCAAAGAAAGCCTTCCTTGATTATCTTAATTCCTGGGCAGCCTCATAGTGGCGGAAATATTAGCGTTCCAGAGATGTACTCTCAGAAGAACTTCCTAGCTAAGAAATCAGACTTGTACAGTAAATGATTCTTGAGTTTATATCCACACCACCAATCAGAAAAGCAAGCAGGCTGCAAACGATGGGAGGTGTGGAAATGTCTTGCTGTGATCATCGGAGGCTTGGCTCTCTCAAGGAATTCCCTTTTTAAAATATATTTGTTTCAAGCAGGGCTGGGCAAAACTGCAGCTTTGGGCTACCGGTGGCCTGGGGGAGGGGGTTGGGGGGAGAGAGATTGCTCAAAGTCAGTCCCCACCACCCCTGGTGCCCCCTCCCCACGTCTTGGCTCAACAAATCCCCGGGGGGCTTCAAAAAGGAAAGAGAAGTAATCGTACCCCGGTTTTGCAAGGGGACCTCCAGGATTCTGCCTCCCACCCCATACTTGCAGCTTTCTAAAATTAATCCTAGACAGCATGATGTTTTTTTTCCTCCCTTCCGTTTTAAAAATTACTTTTAAAAGCATTTTTGGTTCACATCAGTGGAGCCGAGAAACTGGGAAATTGCTCCGCGGCTCTGCAGCAAAGCACCCTTTGACTCCCTTTGTCTGCTACCAACCAGAACATTTTTTTTTCCTAAGTGTCTTAGCGCTAGGGCAGGAAAACTCTCCCCAAACAGGGAAGGGAAGGGGCTGCGTCTCCTTGGGCTGCCCTCCCCCATTGTGCATTCCCTTGCCCCCCCCAACACCCCATTAAGGCGGGAGGGGGCCGGGGGCCGGTACCTGTATGCCGCAGAGATGCCCGTCCCGGACGTGGCAAAGAGAAGCTGAAGGACCGGGCGGGCAAGGTCGCTGGTCCATCGAGGCTGACGCTCTTCGTGCGCTTGCGGCACTCCACGGAGAGAAGGTCCCGGCAGTGCTTGTGACAGCTGACGGCACAGGCTGGAAGAAATCAACCCACCTGTCAAATGACTCACCCACGTGACACCCACACACCCCAGAGTCGTACACACACCCTGCGCCCGTTGCCCCAGGTTCTAAGACTCAAGGGGAGCTGGCAGGCATGCCCACTCTATGGAGGGCTCTAGATCTTTCCCACTGGGAGAAAAGGAGACACTCTAAACACTCTGTACATGGTCAGAGGAGCGCTGGTTTCCTTCGTTGCTTCTTGCATCCTAAACTTTGCTATTCTCTCCCTCCCTCCGCAAAGCTCACATCATCTGCCATGGTGGAAATGGGATTAAATCAGAATGGGCAAAATAAATAACTCTCCCTCTGTATTAAAACCGATGCGTGCTTTGCAAGGAAAGCTCTTTTGACCCCAAACGACCCTCTCCCGCTCAGAAAGGTGGATCCACGGTTCACGGCAACGTCTCCCACTCCGCCCACTGATGTGCTGCTCACTTTCCACGGGTAGGTGGACCCATTTCGCCCTATCCCTTACCCCGGCATTTCAGCCCCTGCTTGTAAAGTCCGAGGATCTGGGAAGACAGAAAGAGAGAGAGATGTTCATTTTCTGGACGGGTGGAAAATATGGTGTCTGGACAAAAAAGCTATCTCACCCCGAACACATTTTCTTAAATCTGGTCTTCTCTTGCTTTCTTCTTCTTGCCCTTCAACTTGGAGCCTGGGCCGTTGTAGGTTCACCCCTCATTTTATGGCAGGGCTCCTCCAGCCCACCAATTCTTAAGACTCCAACTCCCATAATCCCCTACCATTGGCCATGCTGGCTACGGCTGGGCTGAAGCCCAATACATCTGGAGAGTCCTGTTTCGAAGCCTAGAGATCTTTAAATAACTCTGCTTACAAAGAGCAGGCCTCGCAGTTTAGCCGCCGGGGCTGAGGTGTATTTCATTTTCTGCTAGACGTTCCCCTGAAGTACAGGAGACACGAATTCCCAGGCGTCCCTCCACCAACGACAACTCCCAGGATCCCCATGGATGGAGCCACCGCACTTGACGTGGCACCGGATTGGTATCTCTCTGCGCCCTGCAATTTCGCCCATGCCGAGCATTGGGTGAGATGCCCGCGCATTTCCACTTCGACAGTGAGACTCTGCGCGTCGTATTAACAATAAGGGTTTGAGAGCTAACCTCTCCTTTGTCACATGAAACTGTCATTTGGCAAATCGGTTGGCTGGGGGACACCACAAGCCCACTTGGGCTCCTGCTGCTAAACTGCCCTGCCTTGGAAGCAGGCGGATGCTCGGTAGGTTTGCAGAAAGCGGGCAAGAACTGCCGGGCTAGCCCATGCCAAGGTCTGAAAGGGGACACCCTGGCCTGCAGGGAGAAGCCTCCTCAACTCAAAGCACGGGCCTCCGGTGTGACACCCTGACGTGTCTGTCGGTGTCCTTCACTGCAGGGTCTGCCACAGCAAAACAATACGAAACCATTTGCCACATGCACAAACAAGCACTCGCTCAGCCACCCACCTCTGAAGCCTGGGTTGCAACCTCTAGCAGAAAACAACATTCTAGTAGGTAGGTAGGTAGGTAGGTAGGT